GTTGGGACGCATGAGTTATCACTGCCGAACAGCACATTACTGCGCTGTCGTAGTTCAGACAGTGCCGTTATTGAACAGCCGATTCTAAATTAATTTTAAACTCGGATTTATTTTTTCAAAAGAACTATATTATTTTTATTTCAAGATTTTCTTACATCAAATCAACATGATTTAACAGCATATACTAAATCAACAGCGAGGAACTTTAATTCTGAACACAATAACACCACCTTTTACTACTGGCAGCCGACATAATCATGTAGGTAGAAAACGGGGGACTTACGAAACTGAAAAACCAAACTTACGTACAAAACAATCTTACAATTAAAATTTCTGTATGCCGCGTTCCTTCAGGGAACCCCTAGTGGCTCCATGACGATCCCGCTAGGGCGCTGGCACCCCGGGACTCCCAGCCAGGCAACATGGCTTCCGGAAGGGTGTTGCTGATTACACTCAGTCATTCTCTCTCTTCTGGGATTTGCATAACATCATCATCACTTTCCTCCTAACCAATCTCATCTCATCAGCTTTCCTTATTTTCTTCTCAGCACTCTGGAAAATATATTTTGAGCAAACTCTATAAAGAATGATAAACAGTTTACCGCTATTTCATTTTAAAAAAGCGTCTAGTTCAAATCCTAGAATTTGGAACATAAATTTTGGGGGGCTAGGGCCATCAGGGCCTGGCAAGAAAAAAATAAAAAACGGAAATACGAAATTATGTCCACATGTGAGTGAAGTTCCGACTGTTTACAGTATATAAGTATAGAACTGGTTGAACATTGGTTGAGATTGATATGAACTGTACAGGATGGTGGGACCGACGGGCTTTCCTAAAACCAATTGATCATTGATATAACGATTGGGAGTCATAAGGAGTTATAGAAATGCCGACGGGCGAAAGAGTGACGACTCCTTTTTGATAGATACCAATGTATGGATATCTCAACAGCAATATGATCACACACTTCAACAACCGCACCTAGATTGATATGTACCTTGTCCACGTATACTAGTATTGAATTGCATGTTTCTGTATTGATTTATGGATTCATTGTTTTATAGTTTCTGCTGTTAATCGACCTTATGATCTGGATTACTACGATCGTGACGATTTCATTGATTTCACTGATTGGTGCTGTGCTCGACATGACATTGATATAGAAATGATGGATATAGGATATTGGTATTGATAGCGATGGACATGAATAGTTATAGAATTATAGACACGTGTTGGCCTATATTCATTGATTTCTGCTTAATGAAAGTATTTATTTTAACTACTGCCCTATGGATTTAATTGATCTTGATTTCACTGTTTGTTTTAGTTTCTGCAACCGTCTTGACTGCTGCACTGGATACATTGTTAGACTAAATTGGAAATTTATCGTACTGTTTCCTCGTTGAGTATTTCTTGAATAAATAGGTAGTTGATTGACCAGCAATTGATTTGATTTTGATAGCGATTTGAATTTGAACGCATGATTGATTTTCTATTGCGTACGGATTTCTTCGATGATTGACATGGATTTATTGAGTTGATATTAATTCGCTTGCTGCGCATTGACTGGCTTTTATTGACTATTGAATTTCTGTATTGCATTAGACTCAATTGACCATTGACTGATATGGTTTGATGACTGACATGCATATTGATAGCATCGCCGTGCTTTGATTTCAGTTATAGTCTTTAGGTGACCTGCGGTGTTTGTAAGCCATAGGTGATCTGCTGGGCTTTGTAAAGCTCATTATATGTGGTTGATATTTTCAGGTCGGGGCAAGGGGAGCAGAAGATAGGAATTGATCCAGATCTTCAGGTTTTAGTTCTTTTGATGATTTTGATTCTTTTGTACTCAGGACATGATAGATTCCAGTGCTTGTGCTGATAGATAGTTCCTGAGTATTGTATATGATATTTTGAGATATGAATCGACTTGTACATTAATATTTTAAATTTATAGACTTTTTATAGACTGTGATAGATTGGAATTTATAGATGACTCTGGTAAATGGTCAGATTTATTGACATTCTTTCCAAGTTAGATCTCGGGGCGTCACACTTGCAAACACCCCAAAGAAGAAATTTTTGAAGAATGCACTAATCCTTCAAAGAAACTTCAAGTTCAGGATGAAGTGTGGTCCTCGCACATTCAATGCTAGTCAACATGCAAGCAAGCATATCAACCCCCTGCAACCGGAGAAGGTCAATGCACAATGAATATAATAATCTGATGCATTCAATGAGTTTGAAGTGAAGAAAGTCTGTGTATAATCAATGTCATTCAAACAAGCACATTAATCAACCAACAAGCCATGATAGTGGGTTCATCTTACATATAATAGATTGCGCACTGGTACAAAGCAGGGGACCTGTGATCAATGAAGTAATCCACTTTCGAGCAACGACGGTGGACAAACTATACATGTGGCAATCTCCATTAACACTGAAAGACATGCGAGAGAATACAACAATTTACCAACCGACATGAATGGAAAAATTGGTGGTGAATGCAACTCATTCAACAGTCAGCACAAATTTGCAGATGAACATACTCATTTGCTCATAAACAATAACATTGTCTACAAGCATATACAAGCATCATGCAATGAGTACTACGACGCACCTGCAAACAGCGGCATGAAATTTGTGATGAAACTGTAAACCATTGGTGGATGGCTCCTGAGACATCATACAATGTATTTGCAAGTAGAAGTATTCTCTTGCAGGATGAATATTGAAGAAAGTGACAGCTTGCAAAAGACAAAATGAGTTAAACAGTACTGTCGATGTGTGACAAATGAAGCTCAACATATTGTTAAATAATGCCATGGAATTTGCAACATTCGTACAAGAGGACAAAAGGCGTTCATTGGCTCTTCAAGAAAGCTCGTTCATCTTTCAAATGATCATTACTTGCCAACAATAATTTAGTGCTCCACAACAACCTACCTACAATAAGCAGTGGGCAACCCATAGCGCAGCGCAATGCCATCAGATCTGCAATTCTCATACAAGCGGACAAAAGATGTCTACTGGCTTTTAAATGGAACATTATGCACATTCAAATGATAATCATTCACACAGCTGATTAGTGTCAAACATTTCAAAATTCTCCCCTTATGTATTGAAATATGAACAACCGCATGGGCCCGACGAGCGTGATGTATGCACACACTTGACATCTGAGGATGCTACACGAGTCAAGAAACGAACCTAAGTTCGAGTCTGATCCTTCTATATGAATAAATAGGAGTCAATGCGGCTCAAACCATCAAACAAATATACGATGGTAGTGCCGATCGTGATATTTTTCATATACGCTCATATTAGGCATTCACGACCTATTACAAGAAAAATTCATTAGTAAAGGCATAAAGCCGACAACGATCCTGATCCATTGTCGGCAAGTAGATAGAGTCGACAAGGTTCGGCCAACAAAATTGAAATGGCTCATTAATATCCTGATGATGGTCGTATTGATAGGAAATATCAACCTGACCCCAAATATTTAAAGATGCCTCCCAAATTTTTATGAAAATTCAAAAATCAAATGTCATTTAAACCTAAGATATTTAAAATTGAAATAAAAACATGAAAAGACTTAAAGCAAAATACTCACCCACCCTCCTCAACAGTTTGTCGAGGTGGATAAATCTGAAAGTTACTTTAACTCACAAAGAGCAAATATCTGATCGAGAATATCACTAGGATTCATTCTCAAATCGTCTTTTGCTAGTATGGACGTAACATGTGTCCTTTAACTGATGATTTCGCCACTAAATGGCACCACAGGTAAATGGCTATGATCAGGACCCTTTGACTTGATATTTTTTCGTCAAATAACACCATTAAATTAGGGTTTATTATCATTCTGTTAGGTTGGGTCGACTATCTCCTCTAACTAAGTAGACTAGGACCATGATGACCCATGACGACAGAACTATGGGATGTTGATCGGGTCTATCATCATTCCTCCCACCATCTACTTTAAGTACAAGGTGGTAAATTTCTAATTTAAATATTAAAATTTTCAAATACTGAATCATGTTGCTACCATATGCTGGATACTATATATCTGTGGATACTAAGTACCTATTTGACGACTAGACTTAATCGAAAGTTCTCTCTCTCTCTCTATTAAAATGAGTAAATAATTATGAGGGCTTACACCTATCAAAACCTGAACTCATATCATAAAGTTCTCTTAAAATGAGGGTGAAATATCTGGGTAATGTCTTATTTAAAACCTAATATGCCTTCTGAAAATTTGGCTCGGAACTTACTCATTAAAACTCTCCTCAACAACCCGAAGAAAGAAAGGGGCCATGGAGAGACCGGGGTGCAAATTTTTGGAGCCCATAATCTTCAAGCTAACATAGGAGACCTTATATTTACTCATTATCGTTATTTCTGTTGGTGCTTTATGAAATGTTAACTGCAAAAATAATGAAAAGATGTGATTCATTATCTTGGCTGCAAATTTCAAGATTGTTAAAAATAGATAATGTTTTTCCCTTAATGGAACAAGTAAATTCGATAACTCCATGCAGGGGATAGCCAACTCATCAGTAATTTTTTCCTAATTTTTTATTTTTCTTCCTCTTTTGAAATTAGGAGTGATTTATATATATGGACCCTTTTTGTACAAGATAATATTAGAAAGGTGCAATTAATATATTTATGAAGGTGAAAAATTATATTATGAGCTCTGATGTAAAAATACATCAAGACCAAAATGGATTCTCCAAATAATATAATATCTTATCAAAATTACATGACATACATATAAAAACTACAAGATTTTTTTTTAACATGACAACATTCAAAATCAATGTCTTAAGATAAAATTTGACTACCTTGTAGATTTCATAAAATATTTTTTTTGTTCTGAGTATGATTTCTCTTGCACTCCTAATGTAATTTTGCCTCTAGAGCTTTGATATATATATTTTCCCTCTATGAAACTAAAAATAGGACGGTGGAATTTTCAATATGGCAAACCACTTTCAAATTGGCAATAGCAATTCATAATAGGAATGAAACTATGAGGAGATAGTTGAATTAAGTGCTATCATGGAGGCATATACACCATTATTAATGTTGACAAGGGTTTCATGTTTTCCTTGTTCTACTATCACTCCATCTTTAATTACCGCAATATGATCTGCATTATTTATTGTGGCTAGTCGATGAGCAATGACCAATGTCGTTCGATTCACCATCACGTGATTTAATGCATCTTGAACAATTCGTTCGGATTCCATGTCCAGTGCACTAGTTGCTTCATCTAGGAGCAAAATCTTTGGTTGTTTTACTATAGCACGTGCAATTGCTACTCTTTGTTTCTGTCCACCAGATAGTTGAATCCCTCGCTCTCCCACCACAGTTTGATATCCCTGCAATATTTTTTTTCAAAGATTAGAAGAACATATAAGCATGCTTGTCGCTCATTGCTTCATTTTAGCAAACCATATTATGACTTCAGTGGATGCAATATAGTTAATAAAGTGAATTGTCTTATTTCAATTCAATGAGGTGGGATAATGAAAAGGCAAGTCTATGTGCACATGCACACATACATTTGAGAGCGTGCATACACATATAGAAGTAATGGATTGGGACGTCTCTCTCTTGCATGCACAAACACACACACACTAGTGCACATGGGAGCACACATATTCGCAATCATGCAACTATCTAGAACTAGTGATTTTGGGTGTCATTCACACATGAGTGCACATGCAAACATACGCATTTATAGGCACATATATATAGCTAGTAGTTTGGGTATCAAATGAGCCATGCTATCTATTTAAATTTTAAAAACAATACTTTAAAGCCTTAATGCTCAACCATAATGGACATCAGCTCAAACAGGCTAATCCCTTTTGAGCTTATGACTAACCTATTGAGCTTAAGACTAGCCTATCAACTAAATAGGCTCTTATTAATGTTTGATGACCTTTTATAGTGTGAATACAAGGGCTCAGCCAAATTCACATAAGATAACATTGTCCAAATTATAAGCATAATTTTTTATTTCAATCATAGGTATGGTGAATATACTTTCTTTCCAAATTTAATTATGCAAAATTTGCTATTCATATTACTATCAAGGTCCATTGATTCATTTAATCATTTATTAGTGCAACCTCATTTTAATTGATGTTATTCATCTAGATATAGTATTCTTGAAGCACCAATGTTGACATCAATGCTTATGTTTTGATTTTGAGCCAACTTGGCTTGAATCAGTGAACTTTCGACCTAGGTTGATTCATTTATACAAATTAGTTTATAAGATAGTTATGGATTAAATATTTAAAAGATAAATTCTACGATGTTTAAATGAGAATGTAATTGGCTATTTTACAGACTCAACTCACCTGATTCAAACTTGATATGAATTTGTGGGCATTTGCTAACTCTGCTGCAGCTATAATCTCTGTCTCATTTGCCCTCCCTTCCTTTCCATATGCAATGTTGGCATGAATAGTATCATCAAACAAAATTGGTTCTTGGCTCACCAATCCCATCTGTTGTCTTAACCATCGTAACTGAAACTTCTGTATATCTGTTTCGTCTAGCAATATATGGCCTGAAGTAGGGTCATAAAACCTCTGTAGCAATGCTATAGCAGTAGATTTTCCACTTCCACTCTCCCCGACAAATGCAATAACCTAACAAAATTAAATATAACTAGTATTAGAGATTGAAACTTTATTCACTTTTATCATTCTATTTCTTTTTTATGCATCATATAACCTTTCCAGATTGAATAGACAAGCATATGTCACGAAAAACTTCGACATCTGGCCTTGTGGGGTATTTGAAACTAACATGTTGGAACTCAATGTTACCCTTGATCATTTCTAAGGTCAATCCAGAATCGTTGCTTGGATCTATTTTAGATTTACGATCAAGAGCTGTAAAAATAGAAGCTGCAACATATTTAGCTTTATTGAGGTCAGGTTGATAGGATCTTGATATAGAAACTTCATTAGTTGTCATGAGAACGGCATAAAAAACCTGCAATGAATGTTGAAGCAACAAATGGGAATTATTAATATAAAAGTGCAACAGTACTGATGTGGTAACAGGAAGCATCTAAAAAGTGTAATCTGTAAAAAAAAAAAAAAGAAGCTTGTAAATATAACTAAAAAAGCAATACAATTTAAATTATAAAATTATGATATAAAGGATATTCACTCAATAAAAGATATGCGAGGCTTAGTTTGGCTCAACTGATGAACAAAATGTGATGTTTTCTACTCAACGGTGCCCTACTTCTGAAGCAATTGCATCAAATACTGAAGTATAGCAACTAGACTACACAAGTACGTCATTTAAGTTGAAGGTGTGGCTAAGGAACTTAAAAGCTGACAAGCACATGTGATAATTTATATTTATTCTCAATTTAAAAAATAGACAACAACAAGCTTATGAAAGAGGAAAGGAAAAAAGAGAAGAGTAAGTGAAATTCCATAAAAACTCATATTTCTAAGTTGGTTTATATATATATATCAAAAGGAAATGTAAATAAGTTGTATTCTTTTCTACACCCACTAATAATTAATTTTTCTTTCATTTTTATTTTTTAAACCTATTATAGAAGATTACTTGCAATGGAAATCTATGTGTTCGAATTATTTTTAAATATTTTTTTGTTCCTTATATATCCCTTCAGTAACTATACATAGTTTTTTCAATTTCTATGAATCATTGTCAAATTTACCTATTATTAATTCAACAAGTAATTCGTGAGATGAACCATGTATACCTGATAAACTTGTCCAAATGTTATGCTTCCATTATTGATAAGGCGAGCCCCAGCATAAAAGATGGCAGCATTGATACAAAATGTTAAAGGGAAGGAAACTGCAAAAGTTAGTCCACTAGTAGATCCATGTTTAATTCCAGCACTAATAGGTGCTTTACACCTCTTATTGTATAGCTCCATTATCTTTTCTTCAGCCGAGAATGAAGCAACTGTCCTTATGTTTCTCAGAGCATCATTAGCCACCTGGTTTGCTTCTTCATACATCATCTGAAACCATTTTCAAATGTTAATTACTGGTTTGAACAGTGAAAGGTTTTATTAATTTATTGATTTTTTTGGTAACCTTACTTGCTCTTAAATGCTTAAAATAATTTTTTTTTACATGGAATATAGTTGCAAACCTTTGCATCAGCACTGAATCCTTTCCTAGAATTCATTCTAATGCATCCTTTGAGGCTTATAAAGGGTAGCAACGCCAAGACAATGAGCGAAAGCTGCCAGCTAGCAAGCAAAGCAAGTGTCAAGCCACCAATTAAGGTGGTTGTATTTTGAACAAGTAGAGCCAGTGAATCGCCAACAATACTTTTTAAGGTAGCCGCATCTGAGGAAAGCTTTGAACCAATTGCTCCACTGGAGTTCTCAGTATCATCAAACCATGCTATTTCCATATTGACAACTTTTTTGAATGCCATCAATCTAACTCTTCTAATCAAACTGGCCCCAGCAACTGCAAATAAGTATGATCTTATTGGAATTGCCACTAGATTAGCCACACCAAATGCCAAGTATGTAGCTGACCATATTATTGAATCTCTCTTAATCTTATCTGGCGACGAATAAAAAATTGTGATGAAAGTAGATGTCATTAATGCTCTCATGGGACTCTTGAGCCCATTGATAATAGCAGCCATTGATCCAGCAAGCAAAATTGGGATCTCTTCCTTGTTAAGATAGGCGAGGCGACGGAGAGGTACTTTTTTTGATTGTTTCAAGTGGAAATCAGCTTTTGATTTCCCTGGTGCTCTTTCTTGCAAATCATCTCTTTCAGGCAAAGTAGGCCCAACGTAAATTAAACTGTGGCTGGAAGGCTCAAAAGACGATTTTATACTAAGGGGGCTTTTTAATGGTTGATGTTGGTAGACACCTATTTCTCCAGCAGTTTTGTTATTGTCTCCAATAGCTTGATAATGAACTCCATCCTTATCTATTGATTCCTCAATTAGTTGTGTTTGAGTGAGCTGGCTGTAAGCACTATTTTGGTCCTTTATTAACTCAGAGTGAGAACCTAGCCAATATAAAACTCAGAATTACAAATAAGCTATAGAAATCAATTATGGAGTAGTTTCTCAATTTTGGCAAGCAAAAGAAAGACAAAGCAAATAATAATTACTAACAGACCAGTACCCTTTTCAAGAATTGAACCTTGGTTCATAACTATTATAGAATCTGAATTTCTCACAGTGGTTAGGCGATGAGCTATTATAACAGTAGTGCGATTTGTCATGACTCTATCAAGTGCCTCTTGTACTACTTGTTCTGATTCCACATCAAGCGCACTAGTGGCTTCATCTAATAGCAATATTCTTGGGTCCTTCAAAATAGCTCTTGCAATGGCTATCCTTTGCTTTTGTCCTCCTGATAATTGAGTACCATGCTCACCAACCATAGTATCTAGTCCCTGAGAAGTATGACCATCTCGATTTATAACACATTATATATTTGTTGATATACATATAATATATTGAATAGAATGATTTTTTTTTAAGGTTTAGGACAACCTGAGGCAACATATTGATGAACCTTGAAGCATTAGCTAACTGAGTGGCAACTTTGATCTCTTCAATAGTTGCATCATTCTTTCCATATGAAATATTATCTCTAATTGACGATGCAAAGAGAATAGGCTCCTGGCTAACTAGCCCAATTTTTTGCCTGAGCCATCTAAGGTGAAATTTTTTTATATTGATACCATCAATGAGAACCTCACCATCTTGTGGGTCATAAAACCTTTCAATCAAGCTGATTATCGTTGATTTTCCACTTCCACTCTCTCCGATCAATGCTACAGTTGTGCCGCCATGAATGAAAATTGACAATCCTGTTAAAATGTTGTCTTTGGGTCTGGATGGATAACTGAAGTAAACGTCTTTAAATTCTATGTCCCCATGTATAACATCCAATTTTGTTCCTGCTATGTCTGAAGCATTAATCTTTGGTTTTCTATTGATGATCTGAAAAATCCTATGTGCAGCAACTTGGCCCTCAGCAAATGATGTCATGCATCGAGTTGCCTCTTCAATAGAGCTGGAAAATTGGATATTGGGTGCTAATTACTCATAATGATAATCATGGGATTAGCATATCCATATATATAGAAAATAAGGTATAGTATTACTTTGCCAAGTGATGTAGATTAACTTCACAAACTAACTCATCGGGCATTATTTACTAAGTTGTTCACGCTGATTAATTTTTAGATTGTATTTCATCACACAATTGGCTAACCGTTGCTACTCATTATTGTATATTTCATTAAACCAGTTTGTTCAATTGATTTTTATCTTTATTATTACTTGGGTAAAAATTGAGTTCAGGTGATTAATATTTATGCATGATCAAATTTGACACTATACTAACAACTTAATGAGAACACATGGAACATTTCATGTAAAATTACAAAATATTTTATATAATTTGTAATAGAACACTCATATAGGACTAAAGTTAGATTATGGATACAATTTTTTTAATAGTACATTGTGTAATATGTATGCCTTGGTATAATCAGTTATAAGTGTTGGCAAAAACCATTCGCACACTGAAAAATATGTTGCGGATGTAGATGTTTCTTTCACTAATTTATCAATTTGATAAAAAAAACTTCAACAAAGTAAAAAATCAACTTTAAAAAAGTTTACGCCTGCATATGACTAAGCCTGTCAAGTGACTGAAAATTAAGAATTGCTTATTTTATTGCATAGATTTTAGGTTTTGTGGCACAGGTCAAGACACTACCGTTACTACCGTTCAAATTCATATTTGAAACTATTATTATTCTTTAATATTGCATTTATATGTATGTATACATGAGTAAGATTTATCAAGGGTTAGAAACTTACTTTGAAGCAAATATGACGGCAAATATAACACTAATGATTTCTCCACCAGTGTAGCTTTTATCCAGTATCAATTTTGCTCCATACCAAAAGCCTAAAGCAAGTGCACTATATGACAAAATCAATGCCATACCATTGCTCAATCCAACAACAATGCCCTCGTAAATGGTTGATCTATAGGCATTCTCTAGTGCCTTTTCAAACTTATTCACTGATACATTCTCCCCAGTAAATGAAGCTACCTGAGAAGAAGCGATTCACAAGGAAGTGCGTCTATTTTTAGTTCTATGGATTAATCCTCCTTAACCATGGATTAATGGCAGTTTTACTCACAGTTCTAATTGAGCTGACTGTTTGTTGTATAATTATAGATGCTTCTGTATTGGCCTTTTGTCCACTTGAAGCAATCTTGATTGTAATTTTTGACATGAAAGCATTGCATAACAAAATAGGAGGGATAGTGGAAATCATGACTAAGGTGAGAAGCCAACCTTTAATAAATGCAACTGTGAAACCAATGAAGAACTTTGACGTCAGCTGAATGTATTTACCAACCTGAAAAGGATAAATAGTAAAAGAATCACAATTACCCATATAGTTGATTGCAATTTCTTTCTTCATTTAACTATTTTTGTTTTGTTACCTTTTCACCCATGGCATCCTGGATAAGGATGGTGTCCCCTGACATCCTCTCTACAACTTCTCCTGTACTTATTTGATTGTCAAAGAATGCAATCTCTTGGTTTAATAAAGCATTTAAGTATAACTTCCTTATTCTTGTTGCCTGTCTTTCTCCAGTGATCATCCAGCAAGCCAACTCTAACAAAAAGTGAGGATTTATTCTAAGCACTAGCACATAGTTCAATTTGTTATTAGCTATTAATGTAATATACTTACGAAGAAATGATGCAACCACTGCCCAAATTGCCAAGTAGACATACTGAAGACAAACCTACAAACAAGGTTCAATATCTTTTAATGATTTATTAAAATTTCTTATGCATTGCATTTATAATCTTTTTGAGAAATAAACAACGCTTCTCTCATTCACTCATTCACTCATGCAGAGAAATTGCAAGAAACACATGGGCTAGTTTCATGTTTAGTAGAGGCCTTAAAAAAAGATAAATGTTCAGAGTGTAACAGCTCAAACTCTTAACTATTGAGATATTGTCTACTTTGGCCTAAGAGCCTCACGGTTTTGTTCTGTTAGTGTAACTTCTCAGTAGTTAACCCAGCCCAAAATTGCTTTGGGATGAGCACGCTTAACTGCGGAGTTTATTACGGAAATTCCAGCCATCACACTAAAAGGCACATCGATGTTTAAGAATTAGCTTTATTTTACTTAAGGGGTTTCATACGGAGCATTTTGGAAGAGCGATATGCACCTCGGAAACATCATGAATCACATGACTGATATCTGTATCTGCTCCAAAAGCATGAGTCATGTTTCCCATTATCACCGCAGCAAGAGGCATAGTGGCCCCAGTTGCCACTGCTCCAGCTGTTCCCACAATCATCAAAATAATATCTGTTGAATCTGCATAGGAGAAAAGCTTGAAGAAGGGCACGTGCTGCTTTCTCTTTTCATTTCCACCTTTTTCTTTGCTTTTCCAGCCACTATTTCCATCTTCTTGAAAGGAATTACTATTTATTTCTCTTTCCTTCTCCATCCTACCTATACAGTTTAATACAGTGGTCAATCTTAGCTTTTTCATGTTTTACTCTTATTTTGGCTTATGATAAACAAAATCAATTGCTTTGATGCTGTCATGTTAGATGCAAAAGAGAAAAAGTTTTTTTTTTTTTTTTTTGGGAGAATTTGGGGCCTTAACCCATATCATTGATAAATGAAAGTAATACAATGAAACAGAAAATTAGATGCCAACACAGAAACATGTAGCAAATGATAAAATCCTATCAACAAAAGCTGCTAAACAAAAAGAAAGCAAAAACAAAAGAGAAAAAGGGCATCTAAATCACAAAGAACTCAGGATGCAGAAATCTTGAAAATCACCCGGGCATCAAAAATCATCTAAAAAGATGAACTGGATTTGTTCTTAGAAGAAAATTCAGCATTGGTTTTGATGAAAATTAGACCAACAAAGCCTGCAACAGATGCTTTTGTAAAAACTAATTGCTTTTAATAGTAATTTGGCTTCCAAACAAAAACTGCAAAGCCAAGGAATTTAAATACCATATTCATGAGCAAAGTAGAGTCGCCTATGAATCCTAAATGGTTAGTATTACTTTGAATGCATGAATAAGACATTACCTGAAGGATAAAATCAAGCCGAGCAATGGAAGGGGGAATGAATGCCCTTAACTAGTTGTTGCTATGTTGCCAAGCAAATTATATCAGTGGAGATGATTGTTATGTTTTATTATTTTATAATAATGTCAAGATTGATGTAAATGAAAAGAAAATTGAGTTAAATTTTCTTATCAAAATTTGATTGAGATGAATTTAAAATTTAAATTTACAATTTTCTTATCAAAATTTTGTTTATCATTGTGGTTTAATTACAGTCCTTTGATCTCTGGTATGATCTGATTATAATCATATAACCTTAGTCACCCTAGTTCGGTTCTTAGACCATCACATGATTATGATCATTCCAAATATTGTAGCCTAGTTACGGTCCTCTAACCGCCTTCATCTAATTATGACCCTTAGACCAACTTTCGCTTGACTATAATCATTCCTTTCATTGTCATTTGATTGCGGTTCTCCAACCATAGTTGACCAATTATGATCCTTTGATCACTATCGCCCAACTGCAGTCCTCTAACCATTACCCCTGAATAATATAATGATGCCTCCTGACCAATTATTGCTCTGTTACAAAGCAATTTATAACAATGAAGATGATTCTTATATTTTATGATGTTATAGCAATGTCGTGATTGACATAAATGAAAAAAATCGTGTTAAAATCTTCTCATCAAAATTTAATCAGGATAAACTTATTTTGATATCAATAAAATATATTATTAATCAGTTTATTACTATTTGAACTCATAGGAACTTAAATTCAATGGCTTCAAAATGTACTTTTACCTAAATTTCTCCTTATTTGTTACAATAATTTTTGTAAATGAATCTGATCGAATTTAAAATTAGATTTTTTTTTTTTTTAAACATAACTATTTGCCACACAATTGCCAATTGGGATCCATTACAAAAAAAATAAAAGAAAAAAAGGTTGTATTGAGTGAGTGCGGTATGACGCATTATCTGTATTCAATTTAAATACTTTCTATTTAAATGGCTTAAGAAAGCAGCCTTCATAAATTTTATTACTTGTGATTTAGTACTTGAATGGAAATATTATATAATGTTGAATACAAGCACAACATCAGACAAAATCAGATTACCAATAACGATATTGTACAAAGATTATGATTTTGTTTGAGACATCCTTTTGATGATTTTTATGTTAGAAAAATTTATCAATATAAAACAATGCATATGTTGATAACATTTTGTATGTACTTTTTTAAAATTTTATGTTTAAAAAAATTATTTTTTGAAAAGCAATTTAGAACTAATTGAAAAAAGAGCTTTTAAAAGTATAGGCAAATAAATATAAATTGTCACAACTTGATCCTAAATAATCCATTATACTCTAACGAATCATATCGTGCCAATGTTATATATATATATCAATCATGCTTTTATTTATATCTCATTAAAAAGAGCATTGTCTATGATCTACAAAAAAATGTATGTGCTAAACATATCTAACATTGAAGCCCAATCAAATCAACAATCTCTAGCAATCCGATCTACAAAACAAGGGCTACTTTTTCTTAAAAATATTTATAAAGTCAAATAATGAGCAATCGCATGTTTAGTAAGTCATTCAAAACCTACTACTACATAATTCAATGGAGTTATATAGGAAATGGCTTTTTATATAAAACTATAGTATATAAATAATGGATTACATTTAAAAGTGGGCTATCCTAACTTTTACATTGCATGGCGTACTTAACAATTTTATTTTAGCGTTCAAAACAAATGTTGTGGATATGGACATATAATGATAAGAGAATATGAATCACTTGAATAAGACTTTAGAACAGAGGCAACATTTCACAGTTTAGCATAAACCAACATTTCACAGTTTAGCATAAACTTGGTTATTTAACATAAATATTTCACTAAGCATGATGTCAAAATAAAAATAGCATCATATACAACATGAAATGACAAATAACATAAAATTTACACTTACCAATACCTCCTTTTACATTCACTTCTCCTTATAACTCCACTTTGTCATCTCGTGTTTGTTCAAGGCAGATAGAGAAATTATATACATCGTGATTCTTCTTCTAACTTCACTTTCACTTATACCTTCACTTGCTCATCTCATATATTCACAATAGATGAAGGAATATATGAATATATACACATACATGAATGTAAAGTCCCTTATAACTTCACTTGTATTGCACATGCATCTCATTCGCACATTCCCCACCATTCGTCCCCTTTTATGACACTTTTCAAGCACATGAACATGAAAAAATAGCATTTTCGACGTAAACTAGCATTACATAAATATTGATATTTTCAACATGTATAACCAACAGCCTTAATAGTTCCAGCATATCTAAACAGTAACTCGACAATTTCAACATTTAAAGGCAATATTAACATAGCATAGGAATGCATAAAATACTCACATGTACGACAATCTTAGTGTCTTAAGGGGAAGTGTTTATACATATGCTTAATGTTGACAAAATATAAAATCATCATAGAGATCGTTTATAATAACATTTTGGGGCTTTTATCTTACTTATAGCACATCCTATTAATATCATTATAATTAGCAAATTAAGTAAAACATTGATTTTTTCCTGTGAAAATGCTCAGAATTCTCTATTCTACAACATACCAAAAATTATACAATGAAAAGTTTCCCAAACTTATTCAAGGGGATGTTTGGTTGGCTAAAACAGAATGAAATATAAAAGGAACGTAGTGTAAAAGGAATGCGCAAAAGGAATACTTTGGTGTTGTTTGAATGAGTGTAAAATAAATGAGGTTAACTATTTTTTGATTTTTTTTCTTGATTGGTTTGAAGTAAAATCTAAGTAGGGTAAAATCTAAAGATGAGGCGGCGGTGGGCGACAGTGGCGATCACTAGCAGTACTGGCCGGCTATGGGGGTGGCAGTGGTGGCCAGCAACCAGGGTGTAGTGGTGGCTGGCGGTGGTGGTGATGGTAGGTGCCAAGGGTGATGTTGGCGATGGCGGTGACAACTGTAAACCTTTGCTCGGATTGTAGTGTAATTTTTTCAAGAATTTGAATAAATCATAAATGTGATTGTAGAATGTAACAAATTGAAGTATAAAATCTTTTGAATTTGGACAAATCCTGTATGTGCTTGTAGATCGTACAGTCATCAAGGTTGGCCCTCCTCATTTCTATTTCTTTCGGACGCATGGAAACCCTTCAAGCCTATTTAAATTAAACCCTTATGTGATGAACCATTCTAGCCAATTGCACATGAAAACCTTGTATAAATATTGAGTTTTTCTTTGAAGCACAATTTATAGGATATTTTTTCTAAAAATTTTCATAATTTTTTAAGTATTTTTCCCTATTTTAAAAAGCCACAAAATATATTCCGAACACTATTCCTGCATTATTAGTGCATGAATAACTTGGAACTATATATATATATATATACAATAAAAAGTTCTTCTAAGCTTTATGTTTATGCTATTTCCTAGAAATGTAAATAATAGGATTTTTTAGTAATAAACCTCTTGAAGTTTTGTTAAAAATTTAATTTCTTCAAAATGACCTTTTCCTAACTGAAGAAAAGTTCTTTTTTAAAAAAAAATAAAACTTCTATTTTATATTTGATCAAAAAATAATTTTAGCTGATTCAATGCACAATAAATATCCTACAACTAATTTTAAAATGAGTTTAGAGCAAAATGACCTTTTCCTAACTGAAGAAAAGTTCTTTTTTAAAAAAAAATAAAACTTCTATTTTATATTTGATCAAAAAATAATTTTAGCAGATTCAATACACAATAAATATCCTACAACTAATTTTAAAATAAGTTTAGAGAATTTTGGGCAAAAATTATTGTTTCAGTCAGTGCACCCAGTTCAAGAAATATCATAATTAAGGATATTTTATATAGTTTATGATGAGTGGAGGTTCACATTGACATCAAGGAGGTGGTCGTGCCTTATAATTGTAATTTTTCATCACAAGTAACTCAAAAAAGTACAAATTTATATTTTTTTACACTACAAGTTTTGACGCCTGAAAATAGGAGGCAACTGATATGCCACCAAAAAAATTGTCTTGATCGAGCACGAATCTTGAAGCAAATATGAGATTGAGGCTTCAAAAATTAATATTGGGGCCATCAGATATCCAATTTCAGCAAGCTTATAGTCAAATTGAACATCTCAAGGAGATGAACCTAATGACATCAAATTTGTCCAATCCAATTGAATCCAAATCAAAGGCCCAAACTCTATTTAGAAGCTTCAGAGCACTAATTGGACCACCAAATGATATTTGAATATGGCATGTTATAGTTGAATTGAGCGGCTCGATGAAACAAATCCAACGAGCATGATATCACTCAATTATGAAATTTCTAGGGCATTTAAATGCTTGATAACACTTCATGATCAAGGGGATCACTATGAGCAGTCCAATATAACACTCCTAACATGTCTTTGATTCATGTCATTCTAAAAAAAATTATAAATAGCCCCTCATTTTTCACATGAGAGAGAGAAAAAGAGAATGAAGAGATGAGCTTTGAGGTTGAAGCTCTACCTCGGCACCACCACCGACAATTCTGCACCACCAAATGGTCAACCATCGTCGTTGGACCTCCATATGGATGCCACTAATGAGCCTTCCTCCGACCACTGTTGCCTGCCAATTACAGTCCTTCTAACCACCGTCGTCCGTCGACTACGATACTTCTAACCACCATCGTCCATCGACTACAGTCCTTCCGACCATCGTCGCCAGTTGACTACAATTCTTCCAACCACCGTTACCCGTCGACTATGAACCTACTAATCAAATGAACATACCAATACTCTGTTAGGACCAGCTGTCATGCCATTCTCTGATTATGTATTGTGTTATATACCGCGTATATCTGCTAATTTGAGCCAACACTCTCCTCTGAGAAAAGACATCATTTGTAAGTAACCACCAATACGAGTTGAATCATGTCAACTAGGCAATGCCCTATGATTTTTTCTCTTTTCAAGATTTTTCACGTAAAAATTCTTGCCTCTTATAATCGATGCACTCATCTCTTCTTTCTGTTTGTGTGCTAGATCTTCGTACAAAATTAAGATGATTAACTTTATATTTATCTATCATGGCCAATATTCCAAGAAGCAAAAAAAAAAAAAAAGATTTTACTTTGTTTACAAACCAAAGAAGCTGTCCAAGTTAACATGCTTCGACGCCTAAAAAATTATAATTTAATGCCATTAAATTGTGTGAAGCTTCAACATATATTTTTGAACAACACAAACTTCGCGTCTAGAAAAAGGTAGCAAATGATACTTCTTCAAAAAATTCTCTTAATCGACACAAATCTCAAGACAATATTTGAATTGAAAACTTTCAAAATTAAATTCATAATCATCCAAACTTTGATTTCAACAAACTTATAATAGAGCAAAGCATCTCAACAAGGAACCCATTAACACTACACATGATCAAATCTGAGTCCAAATGAACTCAAATCAATCATTTGAAGCATATTTGAAAACTTTTAAACATTAATTAAAAATTAAATGATATTCAAATATTGCATGCTTATAATCAAATCAAACGCTCAATAAAATGAATCTAACAAACCCTAAGATCATTCAATTGTGATGTCATAAGGCACTCAAATACTAGATTAATGATCTATGATGAAGGTGGTCACCATAGACTCTTTGATTAAGTATTTTGAATCTCTGCTAAATTCATCAAATTCTCTAAAAAAGAACTATAAAAATGGCCATATTTTGTCAATGATGAGAGCTTCGAGAGCTGAAAGAGTTTGCCCTAAAAATTATGAACAATTATTATTATTTTCTATTAATAATTTTCCACGCAACCTTAACAAAAAAATGAGAATACTATATTGGATGATCATTCGCTATCATGTAACAACAAAAGAAAAAAAAAAACTGAAGAAAAACCAAAAAACTCAAAAAGAAAAAAGTAAAATATATTTCCCACTTATATTCTTTTGAACTAAACAATAGGTGAAAGCTATTCAATTCCTTTTTGATATTGTTAATTAAAAGGAAATTAAGTTATTTTCTCACTTCTTTTTTATTTAGTGCTCTGTCCGTAAAAAATTAAGCTTGTATTTCCCATAATGATTTTTTTTTTTAATTTAAAACTAAAGATCAATGAAAACATACACTAAATTTGATGAGCCCAATCTGCAGATATAGAGCCACAGCATGACAATATTCAGTAAAAAATCTAAAGCTTCATTTAGGACACTTTTCTTACTATGATTTTCAGCTATTTTAGAAAAAATTCTGCACTAACAAACCGTTTTCTACAGCAGCTTCCAAAAGATAATTACAGAGCCTAAATAATGAACACTGATCAAGTGATATAGGAGAAATACATTAGCTGGCTAATCAGCAAATTTCAGTTTAGCCATTAAGCTCACAGATTATATAATAAATCATCACATTATCACATGAAATCATAATGCACAAATGTTATCATCGGCAAATAAACAAAATTATTAAAATAACCACGAGCTTTGACATATAAACGGAAACAAACTTGAAGAATTAGAAAGCCTAGTAAGCCTTATCTACACACAAAAATAACAGAGACGGGACAGGACAGTCAAAATATCAAATAGCAAGGAAAATGACAATCACCAAAACCAGCTACCAGTGATCACTGAGTTACACCTAACCACTTGGAGAAGTTTTCAAACTCTGTGTAATCGCTGTCAGATATCATTGTGTTGTACCATGCCCTTCCAGCAGCCTTCATTTTAGCAGCTTCTTCCTGCATATGGTTACACGCGAAGAGGACAAAAATCAAAATAAATAAATATAGTATTCCACATTCAGGATGAATTCGAGATCACCAGCTTTCAAAATAGCTCAAACATTTGGGTGGAAATTAAACAAAAGGATGGAAATTAGGAATGTTTTAGCTTCATAAGCATTAGCGAGTAATGATTCTGCGAACCGCAAAATCATTACGTGGTGACGACGAGCACGGGCATTGTAGGGAGGCTCTTGTAGTGCAATGTATTTGGAATTTTTTTTTTCCAAATTGAACGGATTTTGAAGACATTGAAAATAAACTAAGGGGTGAGTTTCAACATTCAAATCCCACAAAATTTTTAAAATTTATTTTACTTCGAATCAAACACATGAAATATTAAAATTCCTCCATTTTATTTGCTCTACACTCCTAATACTTCCAATCAAATAGCCCTCTTAATCAAATTTTGTATCATCTTTTCTTAAATAAAGATATAAAAGATAATTTTTTATCATTTACTATATAAAAATATAAAAATTAAAAAGGGCAATGTTGGACAAGACCAGGCCAAAATAAATTCAATGTTGACTACGACTTAGCATACTTAAAAAACAAGAGACTAACAACTATCAATGACAATATACACTAAAGGATGTTGTCATACCAACATTTTCAAGATTATGCACCAACAAGTTTTGTCGGAAAAAAAAGGTGTGAGCAAATGATGAAGTTCCAACTTTGATATGAGGGATGTACAAAAGAAGAAAACAAATATAATGAAAAAGGTATCCGATTATTACAAGGGCATGACAGACTGATATTTTGATAAGCACCAAGACCATATCATGCATTCATTCTGGTAACCATAAAGAAGCACAGATCATGGAGCTATAGCGCATTCACGAATGGAAAAAATCATACGACAAGCAATGATCACATTAGCTTTATAGCATTCGCATGGCATTTAGCAACAATGAGAATTAAGAATTAACAAATACAAAGAATACCTAAACTGCATTATTGTGTAAGAAATTAGGCAGCAGGAATAGAAACAAATTATGGTCAGTTAAACAAGCAAAGTTACCCTGGTAAGCGGACTCCTCTTCTTGTCAAGCTTCTCCTGTTTGGCCTTCACTCTCTGTTTCTCGGCAAGCAGTGCCATCCTCTTTGCCGTTTTTGCATATGGATTAAGCTTGAGCATAGCGCTGAGATTTTTCAAAGGGTTCTTCTTCACCGTCTTCCTATTGACATCCTTGTTGATCGGCTTCACAACAGACTGCACCTCATCAGAGTTTATGATCCTACTAAGATCAGCATTGGTCATCTTCTGCCTAGGTAGAACGTAACCCCTTTTCAGCTCTGAAGGAATCTCAAAGGTGCCAAATACCTCATCCAGCTTCTCAAATGCCGATTTGGTCCAGATAATGAACCTCCCGACATGACCACCTGGAGCAAGCTTCAAAATATTCAGGTGGTCGACATGGGCAACCTCAACTCCTGGTAGATTCCTGAAGGCCTTGACGATCTTGGAACCCTCAGTTCCATAGATGATCAAAGGACCCTTGCGAGAAATGTAGCGACGATTGCGCATCTTTCCCTTCCCGGAGCGGATCCCCAGTGAATCCTTAGCTTTTTGAGCATCCGGATAGGCTCCGACCTGCTTAAGGATCTTGATGGCCGAGGATGTTTTCTCAATGGACTCAACGGAGTCGGAGAGAACGAGCGGGAGCTCCGGAACAGACTCTATGCGGTGACCGCGGGCTAGGACTAGGGAAGGGACGGCTGAGGCAGCTAGGGCAGAGACAACTGCATAGCGGCGCTGGTTGATGTTAACGCGGCGGTGCCAGCGCCGCCAGATCTTGGTGGGGCCAAACATGCGACCACCACGGCACATGTTTCCAAAGGCACCCTGGCCGGCTCGGTGGGTACCGCCGCCGGGAACGCGAGGGATACGGGAGACGGCGCGGCCGGTACCCCACGACTCAGCTGAGGTCTGATGGCCGGCACGCCTCGAGACAGCGTAGGGTTGACGCTTATTTCGAGAGAGGTTATCGTGAACGAAACGGACAATGTCGGGGCGGATCGGGGAGCGCAACACGTCCGGCAAGAAGGCAGTGGTTACACTGTCGGTGGCCATGTCGCCGTCAAGGAACTGGACAGAGACTAACGGGCGAGCGATGGGCTTGGAGGCGGCCATGGAGGAAAAATTACGGTTACCAGGGTTAGGGTTTTGAGTGGTCACCAGGTTTGTCGGGAGAAATGGAAAGAAAATTTGTTTCTAATAAGGCCATTCCAACCATTAGCTGTTTGATCGTTGGGCCGTTGGAACTGAGCGTTTATTTTGAAAAGTTTTATGATCTGTTTAATTTTAATTGGAAGGTTTCTATGGTTATTAACGATAACAATTAGACCTTTCCTAACTGTTTTGATGTTTCCATTGCTTCTGTCCAATGTACCATCCATATTAACAGTTCCAAGAAAAATCACCTTTGGTTGTATGCCCAGAACCCCAAATTTCACACTTCCTAGAAGTTTTTATACTTTTCTCTTGAAAAAATTTCTTGGCACAAGCTGGTTTGGCATAAAAAAGATGCTTGAAAAAGTTTCTTGCCCAAAAGATCACAGAACCATCTAAGTTGTCAACCAAGCCGTGAACCTCCAAGCGCTTGCAAGATTGAAACCTGCTTCATCATTGTCCAAATCCAAAAACGATACTGCCAAAGATCCAAAAACAAGATAAACCAGCAAAGCAAAAATGAAAGACGCCAAAAAGAAAAATCATTTTTTTTTTGGGTTTGCTTTAACTACGCTTAACATTATTTTTAAAAAAAACCACCATATGCATTCAATTCTAACTCTTGAATATCTTCCCCATCAGACAAAAAATGTCGTCCTCTAACCAATCGCATTGGCTCCTAACATTATTCTTCGCTAGGTGAGCAACCAAACCAGCATTGGAAATGACAAAAATGGGAACATCAACTAAAGGCTCCAAGATAGCAAGGGGAGAAAAGTAGAGCTCAGACGACACAAGATGCACCACCGAAGCCCCAGCCTCAGAACTTAAGGAAATAAAATCATCACCCAAAACCTCCTCATCCTTCTCACTAGTAGGACTAACTATCAAGTTCATGCAACAATTAGTAGTGTTCAACGACTCACAACCAAGCTTAACGAGCTCCACAACTTCCCCAACGGAAGTGGAGACATTCAATTTAGAGCAACCCACAAGAACCATAGCCCCCTCCAAAACAGACGACATGTTATCCAAAACATCCAGAGCATCAGCATTAGCCATAGAGACATCATCCAATTCAGGCACAACCACACAACCTAACTCATCATCAAGCCGAATAGCCTCATCAACAACAATAATCAATTTCGAATCCTTAGACAATTCAGAAACATTATTAATTACTACATCAACAGAATTAGTCACAATATTGTCATTGCCAAGAACATTCCTGTTATTACCACCAGTGGGACACAAAATTAGAGCTCCATCAATGGCATCACAAGGAATCGAATTTTCCACCCTATCACCCTCACAACTAACATTCACATCCAACGGTTTAGAGACAACAGGAACATCATTTGGCAGGGCAACCTGAAGAGGCTGGCCATCGCCACTCAAATGCCCTAAATATTTACACGAAGCACAAAAGGCTGGAAAAGTTTCCATCGACACATGTTGAATATAGCCTAGGTTTTTAGGACCAAACAAGACTTTATCGGGATAATATTTCATGATGTCAAGCTCAAGAAGCACATGAGCTACAGACGGTTGAGAACCCACAAAAGTAGCTGAATATCCTTTTGAGGCCGACCAAAAATTGAACCCAAACCAAACAAGATACATGGGGAGAACAAATGAGGTCGGAGATTAGGGAAGGACACCCAGGTAGAGATAACAGGCAACTCAACACCAACATCAACCAGAGGAGAACATTTGGTCAACATCATATATCAATTTTGTACTAAGTAGGAACGATGACAGAAAATCCTATAATAATCAAGGTCATTGCTCAGCTTAATCATGCATATTAAGGATCAAATCATATGATCATTAAATATGTACAAGAATAGTAAAATCAAAATGCATTAGCACTAAAATCTATAAATAATAAAATACTACAAAATGAAAGCCAATAAAGTAGTAAACTAGTATGAATGTCAAATCTATAAAGTAATCGTTGTATACATAATATTAGAGCTGTCAACATTTGACCCGACCCGAAAACCCGACCAAAAAATTTCGGGTTCGGGTCAACCCGAACCGGGTCGGGTTCGGGTTAGAGATTTCGACCTGTTTGTAAAACCGGGTAGGTTTGGGTTGACCCAGAAACCTAAAATCAACCCGATTTTAATTAATTTAAGAGAGTTTTAAAGGATTTTTATGAAATAAGTAAATGATATTTCAAAAAATTATAAACAATGTTGTCCAAATTAAATTAATTTTGATTTATTTTAAACTATTTGAAATAAATCTTACCTTAATTTGATTTAAATTTAAATAAATTGAATTAAATAAAAAAATTAATGAAATACACCCGAAGCGGGTCGGGTTCGGGTTGACCCGGACCCGAAGCGGGTCGGGTTAGGGTTCGGAAAACCGACCCGTTTGCAAAAACGGGTCTGGTTGAACAGTGTCGGGTCAATTTTGGGTTGAACCCGAACCAGACCCGTGACCCGATTTCGATAGCCCTACATAATATCAATAAGTATAAAATCGTATAAAGCGTCAAATCAAAACATCGTTAATGACTGTTGAAATCAAATCAATATAGTAAAATTATATCAAAATATACACATGCTATCCAATTTTAATGTATTATGTGCCCAGTGTATCACATGGATAATATCAGTCTAGTGAATCAGTGGTATCAAATAGTATCAATATTTATATTACTAATAATCTAGTGGTATGAGCAGTAAAATAATACAATAATAGTAAATTCGTGTAGTACAATAAATCTATATAATAATAAGAATAATGCCTCTAAGAACATGCATTTTAGTAGTCATACTAAATAAGTAAAAAGTCCTGACTATCACGGTGGTTTGCAATTTTAGTATTAGTGTTAGTAAATCGTTGGCTCAGTAAATAGAGTCGTCACTATTTACCCGTCGGCACAATAATAATCTCTGTATAACTCTCAATCAATGTATCACGTGAATTAATATATGATAATACAAAATTATAATATTAAAATGAAATCCCATCAGCCCATCATCCTATACAGGTCAATCAGTCTACAATAAATCTATATAATAATAAGAATAATGCCTCTAAGAACATGCATTTTAATAGTCATAGTAAAAAGTAAAAAGTCATGACTATCACGGTGTTTTGCAATGTTAGTATTAGTGTTAGTAAATCATTGGCTCAGTAAATAGAATCACCACTCTTTACTCGTCGGCACAATAATAATCTCTATGTAACTCTCAATCAGTGTATCACGTGAATTAGTATATGATAATACCAAACTATAGTATTTAAAGGAAAGTCCGTCAGCCCATCATCCTGTACAAGTCAATCAGTTTCCAAACAATGGGTCAAACAAGTCTTTACTTGTTTATTTCACACATGTATATTATTATCGCAGTACTATAATACTAATATCGACCATCTATTACTCAAGCACATATCCACATCCATTTTCAATGCATTCCAATAAATAATGCATAATTGAGCTTAATTAAGAAGATGCAAAAATGTTATAACGGTATACAACAAAGAATCCTATTAGACAAAAATACATATTTTCAAAAAATTATCAAATTACCATGGATTGTAAAAAAGACATTTTAAGACTTCTATTGTACTAGACTGCTATTTTTAGAAGTCAAAATAAATTTTAGAGTAGACAAAAATTATTATATTTTCAAAATTATCCAGTGAAACATCTCAAATAAATACTCAAAATGCTCATAATCATGATCTCTATCACATAGAAAAAGTTTTGCAATGAAAGTTTTGTCAATACAAAGTTAATCACATTTTTTGATAACAAAAACATAAATTTGAGCAAAAAATATCAAAAATACAAAATCTTTGAAATCATAAATAGGATATGGATTCCTTATAGCTAGACGAGCAATTATCCCAACTGTGTCGACAGATGAAAATCGCTCCGCGGCCTCTAAATCTTAATTCTATTTTTCTCTCTCCTCTAAATCTCTCTTAAAACACTCAAAACCACCTCTTGCCGAAATGACTTAAGGGATAAGGTTTAAAAAACTTTTAATAACATAGTGACATAAGAAATTTTAATGAAATAATAATTTAATATTATATAATTACTTTAATTAATTACTTTAGTATAAAAATTCAAATAAATCATTTTTGGGTTCATAAAGTTAGAGAAAAATATTTATAAAACAAATCATAATATTTAAAAAAATATCGATGAAATCGATTTGCAAAACGGACATCTATCGGTCCCGAAATCTTCACTTGTACCGACATGTACAAATTCTTTAAAGATTTTTGTCGGTGTCCAAAAATTACGAATTTTTTTTGTAAATAAAATACTTCGATCTAAATACTATGACGAAGACATATTGCGATTTGGAGTTGTAATGACTCCAGAAATAAAAGACGGTCTATTACAATTGATTTCTTCCTCCAAAATCCACAGCGATGGTAAACCACAAAATGAAGAAGGTTTGAGGTCAAGAAAATGACCAACAGAGGAGCTACCAGCGAGAGCATCAAGAAAAGACCTAGATTTGAATGATCCTTCCAAAAAACCAAGATCGCACAATCGTTTCCCCACCATTCGGCGAGAAAGGCCGGAGGCGCCAAAACGAAATCAAAATGAAACACAAAAACACCACATAAAAGAAAACAAGGGAAGAAAAAACTTCCCTGGAGCACCGAGGAGCGCACGCCCTAGTGGGCCGAGGAGCGCCGAAATCGCCCAGACGGGAATCCTAGTGGAGAGCGATAAGAGGCATTTTTTTACAAAGTTATATGATATTGTGACTTACATTCCTTATGATTTAGGCTTCATTTGGGACAGCTTTCTTACTGCTTCATAAAGCAGCTTTATACTAGAAAGTTGATTTAAGAAGCAGGAAGAAAGTCGTCCTAAACAAAGCCTTAGTTTCTTCTAGTAGCTAGTTGAGAAACGTTTCTAGGTGACTTTATATGCCTAATAATAATGAAAATGAGGGAAATATATCTTTATTTTTAAATATACTTGAAAGTTTATTTCAAATTAAAATATTCAAGGTACTTAAAGTTTATAGTCATCGACGTTGATTTGAGTCATATTCTAGCAAGGTTTGCAATCATGTTCAAATCATGTTCCAATAATATTTGAA